TCCCATTAGCAATGTTTTTCTCATCGTCCGCATTTATGTACCTTCAGACAAGGTTACGACTGGACGTCGAGACGCGACGTCGCGATCGGACGATCGCTTAGAATCTTGGGAAGATGCTACCCATTGACCAAAACGGCGTACAAACATCTCGAAGTCGGTGTTAACGTCAGCCGACCCTCTTACGTGGAAGTCGTCCTCGGAAATTGTCACGGCAAAGAGATCTCGTTTGCGCCGGATGTGTGGAAGGAACTGCTCGATCTGCGATCCATGCTTACGTCGTACTTTCAGCGCGACGAGCGAGAGGAGATGCGCCCTCCAGCCCCGATATATATCGGACAATTAACGTTGCGATTCGGCAAACTTAACAATCTTCGAATACTCCGTCTCGAAACACCTAAGGATCGTCTAGTCGCATCGAGGAGCACCGTGCTAAATATATTAAACTTGGAGCATTGCATCAACCGCATCATTACAACTTTGAGCGGTTTAACCGGATACATCGATAATAAGCTAACGCGCTTCCTCGATATCGCGGCCGGCGTCCACGATCGGACGCTTATTCCGACGGCGATATGCGACAGCGAGAACTTCGACTGCAACGATATAATCGATTGCGAACTGCAGGCTCTGCTCTTCGGAGAATCCTAACGCGCTATTGTATCTCTGTACTGTTACAAATAAAAACGCTCTCCTTCAATGCGAGAACCTCTCTTTATTCGATCTCCGTCCATCAGATTTTATGGAAAAATTTTTGCTACCATCGCTAATCATGATTTGCATGATACATTCCTAAACTATAAAAAGTTTGCTGTTGCACATAATACACGAGTATCACCGCTAATTGCGAGATGTTCGCTGTTTCACCTATGTAATAAATAGGTATCCCGGTTAACAACAAGATGTTTGTTGTTCATTTATTACGACTGAAATCTAATTATCATGCGCAGTTTTTAGCTAGTTTCTTCCATGCTATAACCACGCTATATCCTGACCTATCCATCGATTTATTTATAGATCTACGGTACGCGTAACGAGTCTCGTATCGCGCCGAGGTTCGCCCGCGATATTTTCTTATCTAATCATTTTCAATTTTCCGTATTTACATGTTACGGTTCATCGCGACTCCCCGGGTTCTCGGGTTAGAGATAAAGCGACAACCGCGACGCGCCGATTGGAAAAATTAATCTACACGGTAGGCATAACGATGACAAGCGCGTCTCGTATCGCGCCGAGGTTCGCCGCCAGTAGTATAGCTATGCGGGTTCTAACCCAGGTCCTCTGAGGGGGGGTGAGGGGCAACCGGCGCGGGGGGTACGACGTCACGCGGGGGAATTGCGTCCTAACCGATGGGCGAGGGGTCCGCGGAGAGGGGGGAGGGG